CGTTGATATGCNCGAAGCACTTGATATTAAAATGCAAAAAGCTAAAGTTAGAAATCTATTATGAATAATTATCGATTAGACATATATTCTTTTTTTTTTCTTTGTTGATAGGAATTATTTTATCTTATGGCAGATAAAAGTCAAAAACTTGCCCCAAAAGGTTATGTACCACTTCGTGCCTTATGTGTTGAATTGGCTGCAGGTGGAGTTGAACGTGATAATATTGAAAATGTAAGTATAAGTTAACTGACGAAAGTATAGATAGTTTCTATCATTCACCAATAAATTGGTCTCAATAAATTATTTAAGGCTTTTATTCCCTCCGGTTTTGCTTGCTGTAGCAAATTTTCGAGAAACACTCCAGTTTTACGAATTTCAATCTGATCATTAATGAAACCTAGTGTTACTGAGTTAGTTTCACAATTATCTTTCTAGACTGTTTGCAATTCGCTGAGAGAGAATCGGTATTCTCAATAGAAATTTAAATTCATTTTAAATATCATTACCAATGTGATAACTACCAAGAAACTACCGTTGATATGCCGGTCGGTATAATGTTTGCTATACCGGTGATTTTTTTCTGAAAGTGTTATATCAAAATGAGTTAACATTTGTAAAGTCTGTTAAAATTGACATAAGTGAGTCGTTTTTGATAATATTAATGTGTCTGAGCAATCTGTACCATCTACAGAGCTCAAATCGGTCCCGGGTTATAAGATAAATTTTTCTTAGTAAAATTTATTCTGAAACTATTTTCTTCTTGATTAACTCAAATCCTTTCTAATAAATAATTCGAATTTGCATAGGAGACATTCTCTGCAATCATTAATAGCTAGAACGAAAGTCATGAGCCCTACAGAAGATATTCAAACGAACCGGCAGTAGATTCCGATCAGAGAATAACTATCGGTATACCGTGATAGAAAGACGATCGGAGAATAGTCAATCGTTTAACTATCAAATCATTGCTGGTATAGTGCAGATTATACCGAAAGCGGTCTATTGACAATTTTTTTCTGCTTTGGCTCACGTGAATAGATTCATGAATGAACGAAATCTCAGACGAACATTTATTTATCCTATGGCTCCCGACACATGATGTTTTTCTAGTAAATTCCACTAAACTAAACAGAATCTATAAGTAAAGCGTTCATATAATGAAAGCCTTTTTTAAAATACTTCATTAAGAATTATGACTTGATCTTCTTAAAATATTCATTTTATTGATTATATATAACTCATTAAACAATTTTTGTTTTGAATTCAAAAATCATTCTAAATTATTCGATAAGCTATACAAATAAAAAACCTCTCATTTAACTTTGTATATATGAAATAATTTTGTTTGATTTTCTTAGTGCAAGAAAAAATTTGATCGTGAAGGAAAAAATTATGTTGATTTTATGGATTGGCTTATTTATGTTCCATTATTCGTTGAAATTCATACACGAATTGTTTCCAATCCATTTCTACGTTATGAAGATCCGCTTAAACCACAAAAAGAATCAGAAAAATAAATGCAAAATCAAGTAGACTTTTGAGTTTAGTGTAAATATACCTAGTCATATTTTTTTCAATTTCACTAAACTGAAAATATCATCAACTTGGATTCACATGCGATTTTATTTTATTTTTTTAATATATAATAAATGATAACAATAAGCATTAATAAAAAAATAAAATATTAAAAATTTGATTGAACATTACTACGCACATCTGATTTGAAATTTATGTCTGTTTGAATCTAGTAAATTATTATAATCATCTAATAAAGAAAAATAAAGTAGTTTTTTGAAAATATGTTACTTCTAGTTGATAAATTCGTTGAAATTTAATTCATTACGTTAAAACAAATTCTTAAATTTGTTTTGCATTATGTAAATTTAGGGATGCATCAATTTCTTGAACGTAATGTCATAAATGACCTTGTTTCTTTATTAAGAGTGCAGCTTCGTATCGATTGATAAATATTAACTCTAATCAAATTTTTGTCGGTCTATCTGGAGCTCTGGTCGAAATTCATAGCATACAAAACAAAAACTTCGGAATCAGTCAAAAGTTTTCATGTTATAATTGTCTTTTCACCCAATTCAACTGATTCTGCAACTTGTATTTTACATTGGATAAAATCTAATCAGAGGTTCTAAAAGAATGCTTAAAATTGATCATAACTGCCTTGAAGAATCTAGAGATTCTCAACAATGAGAATATTTCCATCTCTAATTAAAAATTTGAGGATAAGATTTATCTCTACTTAAAAGAAACCACATGTTTCGTATTAAGAGATACATCATCCTTGAAAATCCTTCATGCCATTAAAAATAAGTTCTACTTCTGGATAGAAATTTACTTCTCGAATGATATCATCTACAAATGATATTTATTAAGCCTTGTGAAAATACTCATCCCACAAGTACGATTTGCCAGCATGAGTACTCAAATTACTCGCACGAGTACTCAAGCAGCTTTATGTATATGTACACTTCTCATGTACTGTAATGAGTACTCATCCTCGTTTATTTCACAGACCATTCAACAAAACACTTATGCACTATAATATACGAAAACAGATCTAATTGATATACCCTACTTATGTCGAAAAGTAAAAATACTGCAAGTAAAAATGTCGGAATGTACGATTTTATGATAGTTTTGATGTTAAAAACTACTAGCGTGAAAAATAGAAATATCAACAGTTGATTACTGCAACGAAGATGGCAATATCAACCAATTGATAGGGTACAGTGAGAATGTGAGTGTGTTCTCTTCATTCTCACCTGCCCACAATGTTAAGTCAGCATGTTTATCTTTCGATCTTTTCACACTTCGGGATATTTATTGATTGACATTTTAATCATTTGGCATTTTTCCCATATCTTTTTCGACATTTATCTTTTCGACCAAAGTCGAATTTACCTTTTATTCATTTTGATTTGTTTTACAACGTATGTTTATTACATTATTACATTATATTGTTAAAGTGAATACTTTATCACTATCTTGTATATAAAAAACTATAAAGATAATTTAATACCAGCAGTTCTCAAACGGATGGTATCTTCTAAATGTTCATTGTATGTATTTCTGTCTTTTATTATTAGTTTTACAATTAAATAAAACAGACATAATACATCAATACTAGGCAAAATATATGCTTGTGAATAATTTTACATAAATCACTTGAGTACAAAAAAAACTGTATACATCTACTTACGAAAGACTCAATACTACAAGATGAGCATTCAATTGTTCTACTCAAATTCCAGCTCAAGTACTACTAATGATTACTCAAAAAACATAATTACCCGAAGCATTTTCTAGCATACCCAATTTATGAGTACTTTTCTGATAGAAAAACTAAACAAACCTAGTTATCAAGGTTTATTATATTTACCATCGTTAACTTCAAGGCTGCAATTCTTAAGATATATATTCGCACTTATCATTTGCCATCAATCACCACCGCCGTTTATTGTCAATAAAATACTTTCACCATTATCTATATATTGTTTTATTGATTTATACTAAAAATAAAAATACCATTATGACAATACTTCAAGTATCTATGAATATATATCAAGTGAATATTTACTGCACCTAACGTCAATTGTTCTATTGGATTTGCAATTTAAAAATTATTTCAAATAGTACTAATTGTTCAATAGAAATTTCTTCGCGAAGATAAATAAATAATTTTAAAAAAACATTAATAAATTTTTAGTTTTTTAAAAACCATTTAATAATGATATTTGCTTATCTCTTTTTCTTTCATTAATCAAACAAATAATTTATGTTGACCACTTCTTTGAACATTATTCTCTTAAGAAAAAAAGAAGAAATTCGAATATGCCATTGTAATATTATATATATGATAAGATATTCTTTAAAAACCATTTTCGTACTAGAAATGTTTCTAAACATTATCTTTCGTTATGTTTATTTAGAATCGATTATCGTAACATGCTGAATCATCATGATTGTATCTGAACATATGGTAAATGATTCATCTCAATGTGGGAATACTACTTTGATGATGCATGAGAACCTATATATCTGGAAGTATTAGTCCAATATCTTTTTCTTATCTATTACGTATAAGAATAAAAGAACAAAATTGCCTATGACGAATTCCTTTGTCTTGTGGCGTTATATGTTTTCATTTGATGCTCGTGACATTTATGGGGGATATATTTGCTAGTACTCTTTTCTTTTTTTAGGCCATTGATATACATATTTTTTGTTTCTTTCTTCTCTTCGCTAGAAAAATTATTATTTATCTAATAATAACCTCTGCTGAGTTAAAGTGTATACAACAGATAAGAGTATTCGCACTTCTTGTTATCAGTACACCCACGTCTATTATCCAGTGTAATCTTAAATTTATGTTCTTATGATTCATTTTCCTTACACGTAAAGCTCGAATAATTTGTGTTATATATGCACAATGGACGTGAGGTAAATTTTTTTTAAATCAAGGACTTATTTTCTTTGGTATTCACTTTTCGGAATTTTATTCTTATTCTTATTTTTTTTTGTAGATATATTACTTATATAACGATGTCATTAACCAATCGAGTCAGTGTTTTTATGCAGAAAATTGTCAGACTGGCCAAGAGGTAAAAGAAAAAAATTCAAACTAAAAAGTATCATTAGGAACATTACAATTGAAAATAGACATAATCAGTAACAGATGTTTCCGTTTTCTTGTTGTTTAGTAAAAATCGATTTCTAAAATATGCGTTTATTCTATTTGAATTGAAAAGGAGAAAAGAAACGGATACAGTGATTGAATTACAAATCTTGTGGTAAGAAATAAATCAATAATATGAGAACACAATTATTTATTTCTTAAATTCATCATCGTGATGAGAAAGCCATAAAATATAACTTGTCTTAATTGGCAGTTGTCTGTAATATAAGAAAGAAAAAATAATTTGTATATTTATTAGTAATAATTGAATTACATGCACAATATTGAAATACTACAAATATTTAGGCTAATGGTATACAATGCGACCATGCCTCAAGAAAAGGTATCTCCAAATCAAGCACTTGAATGGTGTCAACGTTTTCTAGGTGGTGCTTGGTCAACTTTAACTGTTGAAAAAATACGTATCGATCGAATTTCGTAGGTTTTCTTTGTATATAAAAATCTTCATGAAGATTTATTTTGTTTCTTCGAAAATTAGTGGTGGTTTATCGAATTATCTTTATTGTTGCTCATTACCTGATCAGATTCAAACACAACATAATGAACCTCGAAAAGTTTTACTAAGGTATTCCAATGAATATTTGAATTCATAATTTGATTTTGTTTGTTTGAATAATTTAAAGAGTTTATGGTGAATCACATCGAGAACATCGTTCTACATTACTTAATGATAGTGTCGTATGTACATTATTATCTGAAAGAAAATTAGGTCCCCATGTATATGGTATATTTCCTGATGGACGACTTGAGGAATTTGTTGAAGTAAGTAAGCATTCATTTCTATGATATATTTACATTATCTTTAATGCGTTTGACTGTAAACGAGCGATCTCTAGAAATTTCTCGCATTCTGTAGAATAAGTCAGATAGATAGAATAGAAGAATTCTATAATGGAGACATGATTAATGATATGTATTATACACGTTATGTCTTTTGCAACGAATATGAATACTTTTCTTCGAAATTGAATAAGAAAAAAAAAACGTTTTTATTGTATGATTAACGTAGGCTGAAACATTACTTGTTTCGGAAATTCGTGATGAAAATATTTCAAGAAAAATCAGTGGACTTCTTGGTAAAATTCATCAAATTGATATGCCATTAGTTAAAGAACCTATATGGTTATTTAATACAATTGAAAGGTTAGGATTTTTTTTTTTTTCTTTAATTAAATTTATTTATTTTGATTTTATTTGTTTCAAGATATTTATCTGATATAACATTTATTATAAATAAATTAAAAGATGACGAAGATCGACAAATATTTCAAGAACTTCGATCTGTATGTAATTTTACACAAGAATTCGAACATTTAAAGTAGTTAATTAATTGTTTATTTTAAAAAAATTATTATGTTTTGTTCTAGAAAATTATTATCTACTATAGATAGTCCTGTTTGTTTCACTCATAATGATTTTCAACCAGGAAATATTCTTCGTTTAAACTGTGAAAGCGACAATTTTACTGTTATTGATTTTGAATATTGTTCATATAATTATCGGTAAAAAATTAATCTTCTTTCTTTTTATTCAATTTAAAATTTTGTTTTTAGTGGTTTTGATATTGGAAATCATTTTTGTGAATTTATGTTTGATTATAAATCAGCTACAGAATGGCCTTTTTTCAAAGCTGATTTTACTTGTTATCCAAATGAGAAACAACAAGTAATTTATTATAAAAATTTAAATTATATTAAATAATTAAATATATAATCTAGATGAATTTTCTTCTATCATATATTGATGCATTGATTGCAAGTCAAGACAAATATATTTACTCTATACATCAAATAACTAATGGTATGGATTATAATGAAATAGATTTTGATCGAAATAAACTAGCACGAAAAATAATAAAAGAAGCAAATTATTTTGCATTGGCTGCACATTTTTTTTGGACATTATGGGCAATTCATATGGCAGTATCAGCAACAATTAAATTTGGTTATTTAGTAAGTTGAATAGAAAAAAAAACTGAAATGTTTGAAAATAATATTTATTTTGAAATTTTTAAGCAATATGCTCGAACACGTCTAACAGCTTATTATTTACAACGTAATATGTTAACAGACGTTAATCATAATGAACTAACTCCGATGGTGCCTCAATTTACTGAAGATTTACTTCGATCATCGAAAAATCCATTTTATAAATCATATATAAAAACAGTTGATAAAATTATCTGATGAAATATATTTTTTTCGTTTTAATTTTTGTGAATATTTGCCTTGCTATTGTATATATCTATTTTTTGTTCTGATTGGTGCAAAGTTTTTAAAAAAAAAATCAGTAACTTTTGTCATCTTTTTTTCCGTTTATATTTTTCTATTTGTTTAGCTTCGTTGTTGTTTTCAACGTAGATTATGAATGAATCAAACATGTTATGATGATGAGTCAGATATTGATGACGTTGAATGTTGAGTGTTCTGACCTTGAGAATAGCAAGTTGAAGATATATATACATATATCTGTGTCCCTGACTGATGATCATCTACATTATAATGGCTTTTGTAAATGATGATAGCATTATTACACTGTCGATATTTTCTCTCTCGTTTTTTTTCTTCGATGTTGATGTCATTAACTTGTTCTTCGCCACTTTCTTGATAGGTTTTCTTTTTTTATTACTAGATGTGTATTTAACCACTAGCAGATTTATAAAACTTCAGCAATTATCATTTATCGGTGTTAACGTCGCGTGTTTCGCATATATAAAAAAAAAAATACAAATTTTGATAAATTGTCGATAGATGTTTCTCTCTGCCTTTCTTCTTCTTTATGTTAACGTGAAGTATAGAAGAAAAAAAATGATCAAAGCGATTTGTATGTTCGATTGATTGATCATTGTCTATTCATTGTTGTGTGTTTGTCTAATAGATGACCTTTTCCACAATGTATTCTATGTCTATTTTAACATCTGGTATTAAATGTGATTCTTTATACATTGTTGATTAAGAAATTTATGTTTGTACTATTTTCCGATCAAACAGTGGTTAGAATAGACGTTTTCTTCGTTTTTTTTTTTCTTCTTCTTCTTCTTCTTTTCTTTTAGTAAGCTTATTCTTTTTACTTTGTTTTTTTTTTGCATTTCTTGTCGTCAGTATAGTGCAGCAGAGAGGAAAAAAGCAGAAAAAAATGGTTGTTGTAGCATTAGAACTACTTCTTTTTCTTTTTTTTTTCTATACTCGTGTTCGTGCGTAAGTGTCGTTTTTTTTTATGACACAAAACAAGTGTCATATACGCGTGGCAATGTCTGTTATACGTTGATCTCAAGTGTCAAACGAATTATGATTATGGTGAATGTAAAACTATGACTTCTTCGTATCCAATGCGTAAAAATGATATGCATTCGTCGCATGACACCATCGTATTCTCATATGTTTTCAACGGCTTCTTTTGTTCATCATTTTTTCTTCTGGTTCTTTCGTCGCTTTTTTTCTCTATATGATAGCCTTTTGACCTCATCAACGCCACATGCAGGTGTTTACTCATAGTATACTGTTTGATCGTATGCCTTATATCTGTATGTTGCTCTTTTTTCTTTCCCTAAACTAGTATTGACACATCTTTTATTGATTATAGATTGATAATTACGAGACTTCCGAATTCAGCTTCAAACAAATTTAAATATATACATACACATATAGTAGTAGAATGATTGCACAACGTTGAACGGAGCGAGTCGTCCGTTAATATTTGTTGTCGAGTTTGATTAGACTCAATGTCTATCTATTTCTTCTGCGTCGTTCATTGTATGACAAAGAGAATGAGAGAGCAAAAGAGTACAAAACCAATTTCATTTTCTCTCTTTCTTTTGCTTGCGCAAATATTCGATTCATATCGTTTGTGATGCCGAATAGTGTTTCGAATTAAACGTTGGACTAGTGTACAAATATATATATATATATATATATATATGTGTATATGTTGGCATCATTTTATTTCGTTACGCAATTTTTCATTTACTAGTTTGCTATAAGCAATGAGTACATCGGTCGTCTTAAAAATAAATTTCGATGTTTTTATTCTAGATTTTTATCAATTGATTAAGGTTTTTTTTTTCAATGATGGAAAGTGATGAATTATCAACAGCAGATCCCGATCAAGAAAATAAGGTAATCTATTTCGATATCTTGTTTTTCTTTTTAATTACTATTATTATTATTAATAATAGATTCTTCTTGAACCTTATGAATACATACGAACTATACCGGGCAAACAAATTCGACCGAAATTGATTAAAGTAAGAATATTAATTGCTGATATTGTTATCATAGTATACATTTACTTTGTTTGATTATTCGTTATTTCAAGGCATTTAATCTCTGGCTTCATATACCTGAAGATAAACTTCTTGTTATCGGAGACCTTGTTGAAATGCTTCACAATGCATCTCTACTTATCGATGATATACAAGATAATTCAAAATTACGTCGCGGTTCACCTGTTGCACATAGTATCTATGGTGTTCCGTTAACGATTAATGCTGCCAATTATGTTTATTTTTTGGCTATGCAAAAAGCTCTCACATTAAAGCATCCAGATGTTACACAAATTTTTGTTGGTATGATTCAATTGATACTATGATTGTAGGAAAAAATTCTTCTGAAATTATATATATATATATATATCAGCAGTATTAGATAAGAATCTTTTATTGAATCAATAGAAAAAATACACTATAATTCTTATAATCATCAAGAATAACAAATCAAATATCTCATTGTATTTATAGGAAAGATCTTAATGTATTAGCTAATTAAATTTGCTTATATTTGATGTCAGAAAAAGAAGGAATGATTTGATCCAGATAAGATAATCTGAACAGTCATTATTTATCATTTCAATGTCAAATATTGTCTATATACGATTAGAAATACTATCGTAGAAGTATGCATCTCATCTCTAAAGTCTGATAAAATTCTTTCATTAACTAAAACTTATATTAAAAATTATAGAATAAGTCACATCTTTTTTTTTGCAACTATTTTTTTTGCTAGATCAAATGCTCGAATTACATCATGGTCAAGGAATGGAAATATGGTGGCGTGATAATTTTGTATCACCATCTGAAGATGAATATCGTCAAATGGTGATGAGAAAATGTGGTGGTCTATTTAATTTAGGTGTACGTCTTATGCAATTATTTGCACCAATAGAAATACGTAATACATATAATTTTGATAGATTATGTCAATTATTATCACTTTTATTTCAAATACGCGATGATTATTGTAATTTAATATCCGAAGAATATGCAACAAACAAATCCTATTGTGAAGATTTAACTGAAGGAAAATTTTCATTTCCAATATTACATGCTGTTAATACACGTGAAACTGATACTCGTATAATCCATATATTAAAACAACGTACACAAGATGTTGAATTAAAACGTTATTGTGTACAATTATTACATGATTTTGGTTCAATTGAATATACACGTCAAGCATGTGATGAATTATCAAAACAAGTTTATGATGAAATAGATGCTTTAGGTGGAAATAATTACTTAGAAAATATTATTCAAGGATTAATGGAAGTATTTCGTAATGATGATCAAGATGAAGAAAATGGTAATGTTGAAGGTACTGAAGAAGTTGATACATTTGTAACTGATCAAATTGATGATGATGAACAAGCATCCTATGAAGAAAATAATAGAAACTATAAGAAGATGACACCGACTCCTAATACGAATGGTAAATATCATACTTGATTGTATATTAACTTTCGATTGAATGATATATATATATACATATTTCACAGTGAAATTGACGTTGTTATTTCTTCACTAGTCATACTTTGCTTCCTATTTTCCTTTTTTTTTCTTGCTGTTTATTGTATTTGGTCTCTACTAATTGTTTTTTTTTTATTATTGTCCGTTCTATTCTATATCAAAAAATCTTATAACCAACTAGAGAAAAAGAAAAAGTCGATCTAAAAATTGTTCAAAAGAAGTTTGGTAGTTTAAAAAGAAATATGTTTGAAAAAAAATAACGATTATTATATTTTAATAATTTATCAGTGATATTTTTATCATTGTTTTGTGTATTAACTTTAACAAAAAAAACCAATAGAACGTATCTTATTATTTATTAAATTTGAGAATGTATAAAAAATTTAACAAAATTGTTACAAACTATTTTTGATGAAAATAAAGTCAAAATTAAAGATGGTGATAATTTTTAGAAGAACAAAACCATCAATTAACGATATAAGAAGAAAATTATAGTTGAAGTGATGTGTTTCTCATTAGAGGACATGTTAGATAAATTATTGTTTGATCCAGGATAAGATAAAAGCTTGTAAACAATCATTACATTAAGGATTGTGCGGAATTATGGTATGCTTGTTCAATTTCCTCAGGAATCTCGGCAAGACGAAAGATGATTGGAGTTCTGGTTTATCGATTAGCCGCAGTGGAATGAAATGAAAATACCAGTGATACTCTATAACCTCGAAAATTTGTCTTATTTCCTGTCAGAATTTTGACAAAATTTTTAGTGTCAAAAGTCCGCCGGAAATTGAATAAATTGCCAAATTTCCGGTTTACCTTGCGTTAAGACGTTAAACTTGTACTGTATTACGAAGAAAAGTACGTAAAAAAACACTTCTATGAATTTCATCTATATTTGTTAACATAATTGGCAGTTTGCTTGTAAGTCAAATGGATATCAGAATAAATGGCTCACATCATCAAATAATAGGAACTGAAATTAGCGATTTCTTTTAGCGTATCAGTAATAATAGATAGTTTTAAATTTTTATTCTTTGTCAAATTTATATCCGAAAAGTTCATGCAACTGTTTACATAAGTTATTAATAAATGGGATAAGATATATTTTTTATTGACAAGAATTTATTCATTTGTTGATTTGTTTTTTTATTTAGAAGATACTTTAGACATAGATATTTGCTTTTCAGAAGTATTTGTAGACAACTGCAATTGAATCAATGTGGTTATTAGTTTCTTTTCAGATTCTTTTGTGAAAAAGTTACTAAATAGCATTTATGGATATATATGCAACACAATTGAAAGATGAACAATGAAAAAATTTGATGTAAATTTATATTATTAACAAGTACTATTTTATAAATAATCTATGAAATACTCTAGTATGCATCAATAACTTATTTTTTCATTTAACAATTTCTATAAGAGAAGAAACGATTCTTTTGAATG